CCTGAAAGTCAAAGGTCAGTGTCCCTGACAGTGGAAGAAGGACCTAACAGAGACTAAAAGACTAGGCTTATGAATGGAAGTTCCTAAGTCTGCTTTGTGCAGGTGATCCATTGTGGTGGTTCATATTTAGCCCCAAATGTCCCTTCAATTTCACCTGTTCTGCTACAAGCATATAAGTATATGTAAAATGTATGTATTTATCAACTGTCTAGTGAATGTTTCTGGAAATAACTTGGTTGTTGAAAAGTAGAAAGAAAACCTACACTTTCTTAAATTTGGCATTTAAAATTACTGTTCAGTTAAGTACACAGATATGCACATGAAACTCCAGTGGTAATAGTTATTTCATACATAAGCAGATGTTTCTTTGACTGAATTTGTCCCTATGCATACTGCTTTTCCTAATCTGTACTCATCCCTCCAATTCTAATTTCATAACTTACTTATTTCTGGTGAGGAGGATCCAGAGGAGCTTCTCAGAACAGACTTCAGGCATAGATTCTTCCAAGGGCTGATATATATTGATATGTACCTCTCAATGGAATTGGCTGTTCTTACTCAGTGTTTTGTAATCTAGACCAATTTCTTAAATTCTGATTGCTCACACCATCCCTTTTCAACTACACAGTGAATGTCAGGTACAAAAATGACAGGTCTCCTTATTTTAATTGGCAGCTGCAAAGGTGTATAGGTTTGTTGACCATCGTGAAACTGATACTCTTATTGTGATGTTTACTGATTCACGTGTCATGGTTTGCCACTTTTCCTACCCTACTTCTTCTAATAATTCTTTATACATGAAATTAGTCTTACTTTGCACAGTTCATCTCTACTTATTCAGTATGAAAGTCACAGAAGCACGGAGATTGCTATCTGCAAATAAGTTGTGGATCTTTGTAAGAAAAAAGGTGGATTGGCATCTGTGTTGTTTCATTCTCTTTTTTCATGCCCAGTTTTGTTCAAGGGACTTTATTTGCTGCTGGTTTTCTGGATGTAAGGCTACTCTATCTTTGTACTTTGTTCTGCTCCCTTTCTTTCAGTATGTTAGTATGTATTTTACATATTATTTGTCTCTGTATTTTGAATCTCCTTTTCTAGGAAGTTGACTACTAAATAACCAATTTGTAACATTTATAGGAGCTTCTCTTTGACTTCTCTTAACATGGTGGTTTTGCTTCAGCTGTCATTTGCTGCCTGACTGTATAGTGTATTTCTGTAACAGGTAGAAAAAAGAGGCACACTCCAAAGGGAAGATGGCATTGTCTTTATTCTACTATATACATAAAACTAGTAGTTTAACAGTCCAAGACTGAGCACTGAACTCACATTCCCTATTGTTTGCTATCCGTAGCAGGCTGCAAAGCAGCAGAGATTGCAATTTAACAAACTAAGAGTAAAAGAAGGACAGTGCCTTCTAATGGAAAAGCAGAGAACAAAGGAAGAGAAGTGTCACAATAACCCAGTGAATTAAATTGAAAGAGTAGGTGGACTTCATCTTAGTCTTCTGATACATGAAGGATGTAAAATAAAATGCCACTGATGTGAATTGCAGAAGTCTCATGTCATTTTGAGCACAGATTCCAGAGGTTTTCTGGAACTGAAAGAAGTTAAAAATAACAGCAGTAAAAGTGGAAGGGATGTGACTTGATATGTATATGAAAGGAGTAATGATTTCACATTTTTGCCTTTTAACCTAACTTGATGCAGGGATGAAAGCCACAGCCTACCTGACTTGGTTTATAGTTAGTAATGCAGAGCACTATTTTCCAGAAGGAAAGGTTGACCAGTGGTTTTGCATATTTTTGTAGCAGTAGTAGCTGCTCACAGAACATTCATCTCATGTCATGTGGTTTTCATTTATGGGAACATTCAGAGGCCTGAACTGTGCAACAGGATAGATAATAATTCTGCAATCAAAATTGACTTCACCCTCTTGCCTTTTGCCATGAGTAGTAGTATCTTTCATGCCAGAGCTTATTTTGTGGGAGATGATAGTCTAACATACAATAACAGCCCATTTTATCCTTTCATGTCTGCCCTCACCCTTTCAGTAAAATAAACCATTGGCAGAAAATTGATGTGACTGAAGCATTGCCCAATAGAAAAAAAGTGATGAGAGTTACAAAAATGCTACTAAGTCAGTGGGAGCTGGGTCAGCCTTGGGACAAAATAGGTAGTCTTGCTATTGAAAAGATGCCTAACATGGTATATAACAAAAGAAACATTGTAATGTGGCAAAAGTAACGCTGTACACTTCATACTAATTACATGAGGGTGACTGATGATTCATTATTTTGTTGAGCATTTGAATTTGTTTTCTACTTTGCATGCGAACTTTGCCCTTTCTGAAATTATAACCTATTTGAAACATGGTTAAACTACAAGTACTGCAAAGGGAGAGGGAAATCATTCATTTCTGGGCTGATGACTATAACTGTGTTTTCATGCCCAAAAATAAAGCAGAATTGTTTGCTTTTCACATTGTGTGTAAATAGATAAGAACTTTTATAATCTGTCTCTGCAAAACTCACAGTTGGGTTTTTAAGGCAGCCTGGAATCTTACTAGTCTCTGGTAGCTAGTGAGGGAGGACAGATGATAATGGGCACCTGACTCCATTAAAACACCTTTAAAAATTTCAGCATTGTGGTTCAAACTGAGTTTATAAAACAAAGCAAGATTCCTGTGTAGATGCATTTACAGTTTCACATTCTTTGTGGATAGCAGAGAAAAAAATCTTACCTGAATAGTACAGTGCCCCTGCTCTGTAAGTATCACTTCCTTACAGACTCGTACTAATTACAGTACACTCTTGTTCTTGCACTTTCCCTTCTGAATAGTTGGCTGCAAGTGATCCCATATCTGCATTAAAAAGTCCAATGCTACTGTGCTTAATTACCAATTATTTTTTCTCTTTTTTTTAATTAACAAATACTGTCAAAATGTACACCATGTGTAGTGTGGAAGTAACTTATTTTACAATTAGTGAAATTATCCCACATTTACTGTGACATTGTCTTGGTTTAGTGGTCAAAGCAAACAAAAAGACAGAGAATTGCTCTCTATACCCAACTCCATCGTCCCAAGGGAAGATAAAAGGGGAATAAGGAAAAGAAACTTAAAGACTGTAAATTATAGCTGGAACAGGTTTACTGAAACAAGAGCAGTAACATATGGGATGCAGAGCAGACACATACAATTACATACAAATATATACAAAACCAATCTCAGTGATAACAGACATATGTGGCTGAGGGTTTTGTGTGACAGCACTGACTTGGGTGAGGAGTCCAGGGTTCTAAACAGTACCTGACAGAGTTGGATTCTGCAGAGCCTCTCTCCAAGACTTCTGACCACAGCAGCAGCAAGGAAGAAGGACGTAAGGGAAAAAAGGGGCTGGGCTTCCTGTCCTCCTGGCTTTTGTAGAGTAAGGCAGGAAATGGAAGGGAATACTGACTTATTTCTGTTCTGCCCCTCTCAGATCCCTCACAGTCTTAAAGACCCTGTCTGTAGGGTATTGGTACCAAAAATTAGCCTGGCCCACTCAGACCATAATAGATATCCTTTCTTTAAGTTAATAGAGTTCAGGAAAAGTATTACTTCCTCATAAAATTTTAACTAATGCAAAAGTAGAAACTGTGGTTTATGTATTTTAGTCAATACGAGGTGCCAGTTATCCAGCCACTGTCAACACATTTATACGTGTCTATTTGCATTTAATCTTTTCAGATATTTGAAGCTTTTTGTTTGAGACAGAAATGTGCTTTAAAATATACAGCTATGACTGACCTCTCCGTAACTTTGTATTTTTGGTCTGCCTTCTCTTTGCAGTAAAGGGATACCTTCGAGTTCAACATTCACTTTAGAAGACAGTGCCATCTATTTGACTTCAGAACAGAGCACAATGGAAATGGAAAATGATAATGCTTCAGTTTTGGATGTCTACTTAGTAAGTTGTCAGGCTCTTTCTGATGGGCTTTTTTACCCCTGTAATTCCTTAGGCTCAGTGACTAAAGCTTGTACTTAACTTCAGATCCAGAGTTCATTATCATTCTTACATAATACATATGCTTAAGTACCTTGCCAAAGCAAATCCTTCAAGAAACTGTACGTCTATTAACTATTGTGTTAACAGTTAAGTATGCCAAAATGCCTTCCAGTTTTTCTCTAACAGTAGGGAGTTCTTGTTTTCCATAACAGGGAAAAAAAAAAAAGTCCTTCCTTTTCATGTTGAATACTACACAATGCAGAAATATTATTTTTTTTCAGAGAGGGAGTTCTGTGTTTACATAGGTGATTTTGAAGCCAGTAAAGTAGAGATCAAGGTGAAGTACATCAACTGCTCCCATTTTTCCTCGGAAAGGTTATCCAGTTGTGATGGCTGGAATATGATTTTAAATGTATCTTTTCCTTACTGTTCTGCTTCCTAGTGAACACTTTACCTGACTGCAGAAGTATAAGTTGAAGTCTACATCTTTGGTTATCTTCATATTACCTTTGTTTTAAAGATTCTGTTGGTCTCTACAGCTCACATTCCACAGATGTAAGGCAGTAGGCACCCGGCTCCAGATCCAATTAAGTGAAGTTTTGTGACTAACTCTTTTAGGCTGTTTTGAAAATGAAAATCTCAGTATAAGTATAGGAGGGAAGTGTGTTAAGCTTGGCTTCTTTCCCCAAGGTTTGTTTTCATAAAGCACAAATTAAACAATTCTTATAGTATCCTAGTAATATTTCCCTTCTATTTTAATAAATAAATGTCTGTGACTTCTGTGGCAAAAAATTTTACTAGAGAGGAAAGGTGAAGAAGGAAAGTCTAATAAATGTTTCACACAGGCATGGTTGTTTCCTTTTTAGCCTAAAAGCAGGCTTCATTATTTATTTTTCCTATCCCTAGAGTTTCCTGATTTTTGTCTTAAGATCGAGAATATCATAGAATCATAGAACAGCCCAGATTTGAAGGAACTGCAACAGATCATCTGGTCTATTCATTCAGCTGGAAAGGGAAGCACACTTGGAGTTGTTATCTATCCTGCCTCCACTGAAACAAGACAGTACCAAGTAGCAATGGCCAATTAGATGTAGAATTGTCTCAGTTAACTGTGTCCTCAAGTAGTCCATTAAATCAGCCTATTCCTGCAGGACTTGTGTTAATGTTTCTTGTTGCTGATCTGATATTTACATGAATTGTCTTTGAAGAGAGACTCACATCCTAAAATGTTATGGGAAATGGACAAATGAGTAATCACATGCACCTAGCCTTGCTAGCAAATTGGATGACTTAGTGAATTGTGCTTTAAACCAACAAACTTGGAGGGTAGCATCTAGAGCTGTGTGACACCTGCATATTTCTAAGAGTGGATGAGCATAGTGGGGAATGCTTCCCAGCCCTTTAGAAAGGCAGGAACCTTAAGTCCAGTCACCTCAGGTGCATATATACCAGCACACACAGTCTGGGCAGCAAAGAGGAAGAACTGTAGCTCCATGGCCTGTCAGAGAGTTACAATCTGTTAGGAAGCACAGAAACTTTGTGGGAAGACTCAGATCACTGGAAGACCACAATGGATGGCTAAAAACACTTTTGGAAAGATAGAAAAAGAGGAAGAGGAGGTCGGTTCATACTTCATTAAAAAAGAGAAATTTGAGTGTATGGAGGTTAAGATACGGATACTGCAAAATTTCGGTTGAATACCTTTGGAAAGAGACAAGGTGGTTCATCACCAAGGATGATCTTATGTTAACTATCTGTTACTGACCTTCCAACCAAATGATGAGGCTGGCAAAACCTTTTTGGCTGCTCAAGGAAGTCTTGGGCCAACAGAACAAGATCCTAATGGCTTACTCGGATTATGTAAATTTTTGCTGGGAATAAAACACAGCAGCACACAAGTTGTCCATAAGATTCCTGGAATGCATGAGAGCTGCTTCCTGCTACAGGTGCTGGACATTCTAACAAGGGTAAGTACAATGCTGTATTTACTGCTCACAAACTGAAAAGACGTACTTGACAACATAACTACCAGTGATAGCGTTGGATACAGCACTCACAACATTGTGGAGTTTTAAGATCCTGCTAAGAACGCTGAAGACCACCAGCAGGATAAAGACCCTGGGTTTTAGAAAAGGCCACTTTGATATGTTCAGAGCCCAGATTTAAGAGATTCCATGGGAAGCATACATGGAGGGCAAAGGAGCTTGTGAGAGGCAGGAACCTCCTGGAAATATAAGAAAAATCCATTGCCTACAAAGGAAAAGGAAGAAGGCAATGAGCTTTTGAGTGTGGTTAAAAGGAAAAAAAAAAAGGCAGCATAGCAGCTGTGAAAGGCAGCCAAATACCCACTGAGGACTACAAGAACCTTGCTAGGGCATGCAGAGATGCATGCAGAAAGCTTAAGGCTCAGCTAGAACTAAAATTGTCCCGAGATGTCAAGAAGAAAGGCTTCTTCAGATACGTGAGCAGTTAGCAGAAATGCAGGGAAGACATTGGCCTCTTAGGGCAGTGAAACGAGTTACTAATAATACTGACAAGGCAGAAGTTCTTGATACTTTCCTTGCTTCTGTTTTTATCAGCGGAGCTGGACCCCATATCAATGGATGAAGTAGCTATGATAATGCATGTGTTGACCCACCAGCAGGGGCCCTCTGCAAGGGCTCAGCCCACATAACTTGATGAGCCTGGAGGGAATCCACCCTCAGGTGTTAACAGAAGTGACTGCCATTGTTGCAAGGCCACTGCCTATAATCTCTGAAAGTCATGGAGATCAGGGGGCATGTCTGATGACTGGAGGAGGGTAAATATCATATCTTATCTGCAAGAATGGCCTAAAAGTGGACCCAAGAAACTACACACCCCTTAGCCTTACTTCTGTTCCTGGAAAAGTGGTCCAAGAAGCTCTCTGAGAAACTATTACAAACCAAATGAAGCAGGTGATTGGGAAAATCCAGCATGGATTTACCAAAGGCAAATGATGCCAGAGTAACCTTCTACAGCAAAATAACATCTTCTATCAGCATAGAGAGAGTAGTAGATCTTTCATACCTGGACTTCAGCGAAGCCTTCTCCTGGACAAACTATCAAGATGCAGATTAGATGGGTGGTCTGCAAGATGGGCAGAAAATTGTCACAGCCACCACACTTGGAGGATGCTGATCAATGTTTTTTACTCAGGCTGGCAGCCTGTCACAAGCAGGGTTCCTCAGGGATCAATACCAGGCCCCATACCATTCAGCATCTTCATAAATAATGCAGACAATGGGACTGAAAGCACCCTCCCCAAGTCTGCTGATGGCATTAAACTGGGTGGTGAGGTGGACACATCAGCCATCTTCCAGACCCACCTGGACAAGCTGGAAGAGTGGGCTGGCAAGGACTGGGTGAAGTTTAACAAAGAGAAGTGTGAAGTCCTGCATCTGGGATGACATAACCAACAGCCATGATCTGTGTGCAGGCCATGATCTGTGTGGCTGGGGAGCAGTCTTGCTGATAGGGATCTGTGGGTCCTGGTGAACAAGCTGAACATGTGTCAGACACTATGGCAACCAATGCAAATTGAATCCTGAGGTGCATCTGTAGGAGCACAATTAGCAGAGATAAGAGACTTGATCATCTGGCTTTACTCAGCACTTGTTGGACCACAGCTGGAGTACTGGGTTCAGTTCTAGTGTCTAGTTCAAAAACAGACATAGACAGACTGGAGAAGGTCTAAAGGTGGGGCATGAAGATGATCAAAGGGCTGAAGAACCTGTCCTATGAGGAAAGGCTGAAACAATTATGTTTTCAGCCTGTAGAAGAGAAGCTTCAAGAGGAACATTATCACCATTTTCCAGTACTTAAAGACTGACTACAAAGAGGCTCTCTCTTCACAAGGAGTGACAGGTAGGAGTTGCATTGGGAGAGGTTTCATCTTTGTATAAGAAATATTTTTTTGTATAAGAAATATTTTTACAGAGAGAACAATCAATCACTGGAACAACCTCTCCAGGAGCATGGTGGAGTCCCCATCACTGGAGGTTTCAAGATGCAATCAGATGGTGTGCTAGATATTCTCATCCGGGCTCCCTTCCCCACAAAGGCTGGACCAGATGATCTTTCAATGTCTCTTCCAACCTGGGCTTTTCTGTGATTGTCTTGGCCACGCTTAACAGAAAAAACACTTCTTGTTGAAAATGTGGTTTGTAATAGAGCAATCTATTTATCAGTAGCACTGCTCAGCACTGTGAATTGCTTTTTTTAGAGTTTGACGTCTGTAAGTGGGTGGCGGAATGCTATGAAAATCTAGTGACAGGCATAGGTAATATACCTTCTGTAAAGGTGTCCTTCCGAGTTTTAGGTGTGATGATGATCCTTTAGTTAGTTTTTGCCTTGTAAAACATGCATTACTACTAAGTCTGGGAAACTGCAGTAAGTATATGTGTATTCCACTAATCAGTATCAACAGAAAAATAAATAGAATCCAGCTTTTCCCCTAAACAAAGGTCTGGAAGAATAAATAGGTTTGAAGTGGAGAGAATCATAGATGCTTTTTTGTCTTAGCAGCACCCTTTCTCTGCACACTGTAAAATCCATATGCAAAATTCAATAATCAAGACAAAGTAGTGGCACATAGATCCAGCATCTAGGTATGCAACAACTGACAGCTTCAAGGAGGTTGGATACTGTGGCTAAGCACATTACTTTTGAAGTTGCAAACTCATCTTGAGAAATTACTTATCCCTGCCTTCTTGGTCTTGTTCCACACACTGTTCTGATGCCTCCTTAACAGTTTTGAGATTATTGTGGAAGTGAGCAGTAACTTAATCACATGTACCCGTGTACATATCCTGAGGTGTTTGTGGAAGGAAGAGGAATAAGATACAGTTTTATCCACTAACCTTTTAGTTACAGTGCCCACCTCCTTCCCCCCCATATCCTTCTGGACTCTCTGAAACAGTTGGCTTCTGGTTGGGTAAGTCACATACTGAAGGATCAGGATGTGTGTTACTAGTTTGATTCACTGCCAAAAGCAGTTTTACTTTTATGGGAGGATGATTAAATGTAAGCTAGAAGATCCATAGTGTTGAGAACACTAGAAACAGGTCAATAATTTCTAATGTAGGTCTCAAAAATAAGTCAAATAAATTATGTTTGCATTAGCTGATTTAAGCCTTAATTGAAAATGTTAAAAAGTACGTTTTCACCTTTTAAAAGCATGAGGAGAAAATGTAGCTTTAAATGGCATTCCCAGACTTTCCTTTAATCCCATAGTTAATAATCCTTGTGTGTGTTCCTACTGCAAGGCAAGCTGCTCTAGTCTTACATGCTAGATATTATAATGAAAAATATCTTCACTTGCTTAATTTCAGTCACCCCACTTTATATGCGTTTGCCTCCTACTTTGAAATACCAAACTTCTTGGACAATTTTTAGTCTTATAGTAAATTCAAGTGTTATGACTTTTTGATCCATTAATGGGAAAAAAAAAACCAAGAAAAGAAAAAAAAAAAACAAACACCCAAACAAATAAAACATACTGTAGTAAAATGACATTGTGTTAACTGAATATAAAACACAGCTTTAAAATGGAATTTGGCTGAACAGTTTTGTGCAAAAATTCACAAGTGAGCTGGGTTGGGGTGGAGATTGTAAAAAAAAACAAAACAAAAACAACCCCAAACAAACAAAACAACAAACTAAAATTAATTCTTGTTACAGGTAAGAGCATTGGTTTTGGGGTGTTACATTAAGGCAACACCCTGCAGACTCACATTGTGCAGCTGATGTCAGAATTGAGCATTTACCTGGTAACAGTAAGATTTTTTTGTTCCAGGACACAGGTACAGAGACATATTGACTTGGTTGGCATACTGAAGGGCTGATGTGGGCCCACAGTTCCTCAGTATTGAAAAAAGACCAGTTTCATCAAACCAGCATTTTATGCACCTTGCAGCTCTAAGCAGCACTGTTAGAAACAACCTCAAATCCAAGTTTACTTGAAAGTGTCATTGGTTTATTTTCTCTTAAATCTTTTAACCCAAATAATAGCTTAAGGAATATATCTTTTATTAATAAAATGACTAACTATGATCTGCACTGAGCAGTAAGTATAAGCCAATCTAAATTATTTCCAAATATTCTAGTACCATACAGTGGGAAACAACTACTGAATATTCTATTTTAAAAATGTACTTGTTAAATAAAGATTGCAGAAAGATAGAAGCAGGTACATAAAACAGTTGGGAATTTGAAATTTTCTCTGCAGAGAATTAAAACATTGAAAGGTTATTCCTTTTATGAATATGTAATACAGTGATAGATCAGATACTTAGAAGCAAAAGATGCTGTCTGAGATAAACAAGTGTCCTGTATATAAGCCAGTAACAGAGAAGGTAACACTCTTCTTTGTGACACTTTGATGTAGAAATACACACAGAAAAAAAACCAACAGAGAAAAAGTATGTTTCCTTTTGCTACTGGAAATAAACTTAATCTCCTTTTAAAATTCCCCTAAAGCCCTATTTATTGGTGTCAGCACAGCCAGCATCAGCTGATATATAAGCAGAAAAGCATTGAATGTCAGCAAACACTGTTGAGCACAAAAGTTTACTGTGTTCAGTGGAATTTGATTGGTAGGAAATACAAGCCAAATCATGCAAAAGTTTCTTAAGAAGAACCAGCAGCTGTAACCGATCCTGAAGACTTTAGTCCAGTGTTGCTAAGACCTGGCATATGGAGGTCCTAAAAAGTGTTAAATTCTCTTAGAAATTAACACCTTAAAGACACCTTGTTGCTTCTGTTTTGCAGTGAAGTCTTAAATTCTTTGAGCAACAAGTGCAATTATGAACTTCTCAGACTACCCCTGAAATTGCTTACAAAGGCAGTTCACATACTGTTTTGAAAGACTACAGTATCAGTACAATCAGAGTAGTAAAACTTAAGAATTACTTTGTTTCACTGCAGGTAGGTTTGATTTCCTTTACACTTCAGTAGAACAAGAACATGCACTTCAATGGTACAGCAACAAACTTTGAAGCTTGCTACTTTGTAATGCTCTGCATCTTAAGGCATTTGGTGGTAAATATAAGATTAAAATAAACAAATACATGCCCTGCCTTCAGGATTTAGTTAATGAACTCTTTAGCTTGAAGAATACTTCTGTATATTAACTATAATGGAAGATTCTTAGTACAGAAATTGTTACATGGAAATACAGCATTTCCTGCTGTTTTTCAAGGAAGGACTCACAAAATTTCCACGTAGTTTAGAACTCACTACCACTGAATATATGGTTTCAAAGGATTGTTAAGGGCTTCAGTAAAATAGGAGAATGGAAAAACTGTAGCGATGAATGCAGCCCAGAAAGCCAACCATATCCTGAGCTGCATGAAAAGAAGCATAGCCAGCAAGTGATTCTCCTCCTCTATTCTGCTCTTACAAGACCTCACCTGGAGTACTGTGTCCAGTTCCGGAACACTCAGCATAAGAAAGATGTGGAGCTGTTGGAGCAAGTCCAGAGGAGGGCCATGAAGATGAGCAGAGGGCTGGAGCACCTCTCCTATGAAGACAGGCTGAGAGGGTTGGAGTTGTGCAGTCTGGAGTGAGAGAAGGCTCTGGGGAGACCTTATAGCACCTGCCAGTACCTGAAGGGGCTACAGGAAAGCTGGGCTTGTAGCAAGAGGATAAGGGGTAATGGATTAAAACTGGAAGAGAGGAGATTAGATATTGGGAAGAAAATTTTCACTTAAGAGGCACAGGTTGCCCAGGGAGGTTGTGGCTGCCCCCTCCCTGGAAATGTTCAAGAACAGATTGGATGGAACTTTGAGTAACCTGGTCTAGTGGGAGGTGTCCCTGCCTATGCAGAGAGGTTGAAACTAGATGATCTCTAAGGTCCCTTCCATTCTATGATTCTATGAACAAGCCCAGCATATTTAGAGCGTGGTTAGTGTGGCTATGATTTGTGTCAGATGAACTATATAGATAATGTTACTACATTTAGAATTATGTTGTGGTTTATGTTCAAATGCCAATTTTATTATAGGATTTCAACGGCTGGAAATTAATTTTGTATTTCAAAGCTTCTGTAGATGCATAGATAAGCAGATTTGCAAATACTGATCTATCCAATGCCTGTTTAGAAACTGTCAAAACTGACTCTTATTACTCTTCAGTGCTCTTCCTCATTTATTCTGTTCTCACTCCCAGAGTTCTGTCTCTTTGAGCATTTCTTAGCTCATATTCAAACCCTTTCAGCTGTCAGGTTACTCTATAACTGTTCATCTTCTCAATTACTTTCTCTTGAAAGTATTCCCTGCCTTACAGCTATTTTCAGTTTAGCACCCTAAACTCTCTTGTCTAGTATAAACTTTTCTTTTTTTTTTTTTTCAGAGAAGAAAATTCCTCCTGGCTTGAATGAAGCTAGGTTGAATGAAGTGTCCCTATCAGA